TTTGTAAAAACTTCAATTGAATTTCAATAAAGTTAAAGACATGGCCTCACTATTAATATTTAAAAAAAAAAAAAATTTACATTAATTTCATTCTTCTATTTAATTAGATTTCTCTAATTTATCTATCTAAATCTTTTATTTAACAAATCCTCTTTATTTATTAAAGCTCACTTTTTTATTTATTTAATTAATCACATTAATGTGATTAATTGCCAGAATATCTATATTAAGAAATTGATCACTATACTTGTTCTCATGTAAGGCTAAGCATCTTAATTTCATTACATTATAAAGTCTTATAATATTAATAAAAATTAAAAAAAATCAAAATAAAATAAATTATTTTAAAAATAAATATAGTAAAATGTAAAAACAAATAAATATATAAGGTTAGGTTAGTAGAAATCAAGCAAATAGTTTTTATTGAATTTTTTTAAAACCTTAAATACTAATACCTTAACAAAAACTTGATCAAATTAAATAAAATTTTTTTTAAATAAATTCTATAAATTTATAAATTTTTTTTTTTTTTTTTTTTTTCTCTTAGGTAGTCACACTAGTACTTTATTAAGATTTATGAAATTACTATTGCAATTATATAGGCGTACTTAATAACTAAATCTAGTATCACCTGATTACCCTAATAACATCTAAATGCAACCTACCACATTACTTTAAACAAAAGTAAACTGTTTATCTAATTACTTAAAATCCATAATGAAAGGGTCTTCTCACTTTCATGACAAGTCTCAAAATTGTTTTTCTAGCTTTATTTTTGATTTGTTTTTTCTTTTGTTTTAATTATTAAACAAGAAGATTCTATAATTCTTATCTAAAGAACAACAGAATATAAGAAAGAAAAAACTAAAAAAAGAATAAAAAAAGGGGGAAACTAAGTACAAAACCTAAATATAAACTAAAAAAAAAAAGAAAAAGATAAAAAAAAAGAAGGACAAAGAAAAAAAACAAAAAGAAACATGAAGACACTATTTTTGTCCATACATGACTTTAAAAAATTCTATATAATACTAAATAAAGAATACTTCACATTTGCTTTATCTCTGTATTATAATATATTCCATTTGTCATGTAGAGAAAATGATCAAAGTTTTTATTTTTCTCTTGAGTTTGATATATATCATTCATTGTAGATCTGATACTCATATCATAATTTTCTCATAACTAATGTTATTAATTTGGAAAAATAAACAATGTTGATTCTTTGGAGAGGATATACCAAATTTCCTACTTTTTGGTAAAAATTTCAAAAAAAAAATTCAATAGTGAGGATGGAAAGAAAAACCAACTTGAGAAAGAGTTGTAAGAGTTATACTATATAGAATATTATATTAAACCAAGTAACTATTTAGGCCTAAGTCTTTATAATACTTGATAAAACTCCAGAGCTTATCTACTATTTCTTTACTTGATAGTACTTATGTTTATACTAAGAACTTTGTTTATAAGAATTTGAGCCTTTTTCAGCTCTTTTCAGTTACAATCAACATGCAATGAATAGTCTCCTAATTGCCTCAAAGTAGAGTTTTGTTATATTTAAATATAATAACTATATAGTTTTTATAGGTCAGGTTTTTTGGAAAAAGTTAATATAAGGGATCATCAGAAAGAGTTGTTAAGTTTGTAGAATTCATTTAAAAAAATTTTATTAAATTTGATTAATTTGTTGTTAAGTTATTGTTGTTCAAAGTTTTAAAAAAATTTACTTGAAAAAAATTTGCTTGATTTCTACTGACTCAACCCCATATTATCTAACCTTTTGTTTATAAATTATAACAATTTCTTGAGAAAGCTACATATATATAAATAAGAAAAAATTAAATTATATAGTCTAAATAGATTACAATTAAATAAAAGGTTTAAAATACTCAAAAAGTAGCTTTCATCTAACTTCTGAATTACTTTGCAGATTACCAAATTACCTTAACGTCTTGTAGAAAGGAAGGTATAGATTCCAAATTTTTATATCACAACTTCTGCGAATTCGTATTCGTGGCTGCGAATCAATTCTTGTGATTATTGTGAGAGAATCTCGCTATTCTGTTCTAGCCAGGGTTGCAAAAGTAATTTAATTCTATGGAAAGTTACTATAAGTTATTAGTGAAAGTAGTCTATATTTTTATTCATGCAGTATTTATGTTCGCCAATTGTCTACCATCACGAACCTTACCAGTAATTTCATGTGGTAACTTGCTACAATAAGGTACCACTAACAACCCTGGTTTTGGTCATTAGTGTTAGGAAGGTGAAACGACAATTATAATTCTACCAGAACTATGAAAATTTCTAACCGATTAGATAGTTTCAATACCTAGCAAAATTTATCATTAATATTTTATTTATTTTTCTCAATTTCTGCACAAATAACAATTCTAATTAATAATAAAATTTTTCATTCTTTTTTTATTATGACATCTTGTTCAATGTTTGAAAAGCTAATATGTACAGGTATTAGAACTTTAATAATCAATATATTAACTATATATAAAAATTTATGAAATTTTAATTCACCAAATTAGAATAATTATTTTGTATACATTACAATTTAATATTAACATTTAGACTAAAATTTTTATATTTTGCCCATTTTTTTAGTTCATTTTTTGTTTCTCGTTTGTTATTTCTTAGATCAATATTTCGAAGAGATTCATTAATTTCTAAAGCTTTGGTCAAAGCTATTGCTACTTCAAGATTAAAGCAATTGTTACTTAAATCTAATTCGGCAAGCTTTTTATTCTTCCCTAATGCTTCAACAAAAACTTTGCCTGTTTCAGAATCATTTATTGTTTCACTTAGATATAAGTGGGTGAGCGTATTATTGATTTTTAAAGCACTTGCCAGAGCTTTTCCTTCTTCGAAATCGAGATCTTTATGACTTATATTTAATTTTGTGAGTGTGTTATTTCTTTCTAAAGCTTTAAATAAGGATGTTATTGAAATATTATTATAACTTAGATCTAAATTTGAGATAGTAATGTTTTTTAGCAAAGTATTTTCCAAAGCTTTTATTGTATTAGCACGAAGACAACAATGGCTTAAATTTAAGATTTTGAGCGTTCGATTTTTTTCCAACGAATTTTTCAGTTCTTCTCCCAATTTCCCTACTTCTATAATGTGACTCAAATCCAATTCTTCAAGAGATACATTTTCTTCTAATGCTCCTATTAAAAGTCTTATCACATCTTTACTAATTTCATTATTACTCAAATTTAAACTACGGAGTTTGATTTTATTAATTCTTAATGCGTCCGCAAAGGCTTTTATCACATCAGAACTGATCTTTGTTGATTTTAAATTTATTCTAACAATAGATTTAATTTCTAATAAAGAATTTCCTATTTCAGAAACAATATGATTGTCGCTCAAGTTCAAATCAGTAATAGATTTATTAATCCTTAAAGCTCTTAATAAACTTCTCCCGGCTTCAAGATGAAGATAATTGAAACTTAGATCCAGATTTTTGAGTGCTTGACTTTTATTCAATGCGTTCTCAAATTCGGTTAGTTTAAAAGAGCAGAATGCGTCATAATTTTGCTTGTCCTCCAACTCTATTAACAAATTAATCTTATTTGAACTCAAGTTTAAAGTTTTAAGGGATTTATTTTCTGTCAAGATTTTTGCTATGGCTTTTTCTGATCGAAATGTTAGATTATTTGAACTTAGATTCAATTTTTCAAGACTCTTTAATTTTATCAAAAAATTTTCCAATTCTATTATTTTAAAATCAATATTACAATTACTCAAATCCAAATTTTTAAGAGTTTCGTTTTTATTTAAAGTTGTCGATTTTATTTCGGACCAATCAATAGAATTGTTACTCAGGTTTAAACTGACAAGAGTCGTATTTTGCTCCAAAGTTTCCACTAAATCTTCACCATTTATACAAGGATTGCTTGAATCCAAATCACTTTTTTGATCGCTTAAATCCAAATCAGTAATACTTTTATTGGTTTTTAAAATCATTAACAACTTCTTCATTACTTTAGTCTCAAGACGAGTTGATTTTAAGCTTAAGCTAATGAGAGTATTGTTTGTTCTTAAGGAATTTACAAGATCTTCTCCCATTTCAAGACGATTATAACTTAAACTTAAGCAGACAATAGATTTATTTGTTCTTAAAGCCTTTATCAAAGCCTTTTCTATTTCAGCATCAAGATTATAGTAGCTAAAATCTAATTTGGTAGATCTAGTATTTTCGAATCTTAACTCTAAATCTTCCGCATAAACGTTTTGATCAATTGTCTTCAAATTATTGGTTTTGTTCTTTTCATTGAACGTAGGAGCTCCATCAGACTTAATAACCGACTCATTAGTGTCATTTTCAAGTTTTTGAATTTCTATAGCCTTTTGTTTTTCAGATTCCTTCTTTACTTCAAGATTTTTTACTTCAAATTCTTTTTCTTTCCCATGTTCTTTTTCTTTAAGATCCTTTTCCTCAAATTCTCTTTCATCTAATCTTCTCTTTAATAATGTAATTTCATCTTTCTTCATGGCGATTACTTTCTTTTTTTGTTCCTCAATCACTTTATTCGTAACTTTATCAACTACATACTCATCAGTACAATCCAATAATTCTTTCTCTGCATCAACATCTCCAATTTGTTTCGAAAGATAGTCACAAGCTTTATTATATTTGTCTATCCATTCACCTTTGTATTTAGACGCAACATTTGTAAGATATGAAAGGTTAATAGCGGTTGCAAGACTTGATGAAAACTCGAGTAATTTGAGTTTCGGATTAGTAATCTTCTCTCTAATTGTTTCAATAATTTCTTCTTTAGGAGCATGCAATTCCTTACATATTGAATCATCAATTTCAATGCTGCCATCGTCTTTTTGTTTAGATACAATTCCTTTATGTTTATCTGGAGAAACCGATTCTTGAATAACAGCAATTGCAGCCTTTTTCTTATGGTCTTTTTCAACTTTTTTAGTAATGTTATCAACGAGATATTTATCAGTGCAATCTAGTAATTCTTTTTCAGTAGCAGGTTCACCAATCTGGTCAGAAAGGTATTTACGAGCTTTATCATGTTTATCTTCCCATTGTTTTTTATGATGTGGTGCGGCGATATTGAGGTAGCTAATAGCGAGCGCTGTCTGCCACCATGGTTCTGATTTTGGAGATCTAAGTTTTGGATTTTGTGTACCTTTTTTTACTTCACTTACTACTTTGGTAACTGGAACGTCTATTTCTATACAAATTTTTTCGCTAACTTCAAAAGATCCGTCATCATTTTGGTTAGACACTATGTCATCGCATTTTTCTGGTGTGGTAGATTCTTGCACCGTAGCGACAGCATCTCTCTTCTTATCTTTAATCACCTTCTTAATACAATTATTAATCACATAATCGTCCGTGCATTCTAAAAGTTCTTTCTCGACATTTGTATCTCCTAATTGGTCTGATAGATATTTACGGGCTTTATCATATTTATCTTTCCATTCACCTTCATGTTGAGATGCAGCTTTCATAAGGTATGAAAGGTTAATTGCAGTTGCAAGAATTGATGAAAGGTTGGGTAATTGGAGCTTCTTATTTGTAAGCTTTGGTTGAATTGTTGTAATAATTTCTTCCTTAGGTGTATCCAACTCATCACAAACTGTGTCGCTTAATTCAATACAACCATCATCTTTTTGATCCGCGACGATTTCTTTGCATTTTTCAGGTGAAGCAGATTCCTCAACGATTATGAGTGCTTCAGCTTTCTCATGATCATCAAGTTTATCTTTATTAAACCCAAGGACTTTTTCAATTTTATCAACAAGTTTAACAGCTCCTTCATATAGAGAGCCGAAAAAACTTTTATCTTTAGCTTTAGGGTTTTCTTCTTTCGGTATTTCATCTTTCTTGAGATCAATTACATACTTTTTCTTTTCCTCAATCACTTTATTTATAATTTTATCGATTACATACTCATCTGCATAATCCAATAATTCTTTTTCAGCATTGACATCACCAATTTGTTTAGAAAGATAGTCACAAGCTTTATTATATTTATCAATCCAAACAGCTTTATATTTAGCAGCTGCATTTTTTAGATATGAAAGATTAACAGCAGTTGCAAAACTTGGCGAAAGCTCGGGTAATTTGAGTTTTGGATTAGTAATCTTCTCTCTAATTGTGTCAATGATTTCTTCTTTAGTAGCATGCAATTCCTTACATATTGAATCATCAAGTTCAATGCTGCCATCGTCTTTTTGTTTAGATACAATTTCTTCATGTTTATCAGAAGCTGATTCTTGAATAACAGCAATTGCTGCTTCTTTCTTATGATCGTTTTCAACCTTTTTAGTAATGTTATCAACGAGATATTTATCAGTGCAATCTAATAATTCTGTTTCAGTAGCGGGTTCACCAATCTGATCAGAAAGGTATTTACGAGCCTTATCATGTTTGTCTTTCCATCGTTTTTTATGATTTGGTGCGGCGATGTTAAGATAGCTAGTAGTGAGTGCTGTCTTCCACCATGGTTCTGTTTCTGGAGATTTAAGTTTTGGATTTTGTGTACATTTTTTCACTTCGTTCACCACGTTGACAACTGGAACGTCTATGTCTTTACAAATTGTTTCGCTAACTTCGAAAGATCCGTCATTATTTTGGTTAGACATTATTTCATCGCATTTTTCTGGTGTGATAGATTCTTGCACCATAACGACGGCATTTCTCTTCTTATCTTTAATTACCTTCTTAATACAATTATCAACTACATAATCGTCCGTGCATTCTAAAAGTTCTTTCTCGGCATTTGTATCTTCTATTTGGTCTGATAGATATTTACGGGCTTTATTATATTTATCTTTCCATTCACCTTCATGTTGAGATGCAGCTTTCTTAAGGTATGAAAGGTTAATTGCAGTTGCAAGAATTGATGAAAGATTGGGTAATTGAAGCTTCTTGTTTGTAAGCTTTGGTTGAATTGTTGTAATAATTTCTTCCTTAGGTAAATCCAATTCATCACAAACTGTGTCGCTTAATTCAATACAACCATCTTCTTTTTGATCCGCGACGATTTCTTTGCATTTCTCAGGTGAGGCAGATTCCTCAACGATTATGAGTGCTTCAGCTTTCTCATGATCATCAAGTTTATCTTTAAGCCCAAGTACTTTTTCAATTTGATCAACAAGTTTAACAGCTCTTTCATAAAGAGAGCTGAAAAAACTTTTAGCTTTAGGGTTTTCTTCTTTCGGTATTTCATCTTTCTTAAGATCAATTACATACTTTTTCCTTTCTTCAATCACTTTATCTGTAATTTTATCGATTACATACTCATCGGCATAATCCAATAATTCTTTTTCAGCATTGAGATCACCAATTTGCTTAGAAAGATAATCACGAGCTTTATTATATTCATCTATCCAATCGGTTTTATATTTAGGAGCTACATTTTTTAGATATGAAAGGTTAACAGCAGTTGCAAGACTTGACGAAAGCTCGTGCAATTTGAGTTTTGGATTAGTAATCTTCTCTCTAATTGTGTCAATTATTTCTTCTTTAGTAGCATGCAATTCCTTACATATTGAATTATCAAGTTCAATGCTGCCATCGTCTTTTTGTTTAGATACAATTTCTTCATGTTTATCTGGAGAAGCTGATTCTTGAATAACAGCAATTGCTGCTTCTTTCTTATGATCTTTTTCAACCTTTTTGGTAATGTTATCAACGAGATATTTATCAGTGCAATCTAATAATTCTGTTTCAGTAACGGGTTCATCGATCTGATCTGAAAGGTATTTACGAGCTTTATCATGTTTATCTTTCCATTGTTCTTTATGATGTGGTGCGGCAATGTTAAGGTAGCTAGTAGCGAGTGCTGTCTTCCACCATTGTTCTGATTTTGTAGTTCTAAGTTTTGGATTTTGTGTACATTTTTTCACTTCATTTACCACGTTAGTAACTGGAACGTCTATTTCTTTACAAATCGTTTCGCTAACTTCAAAAGATCCATCATTATTTTGCTTAGACACTACATCATTACATTTCTCAGGTGTGGTAGACTCTTGTACCGCAGCGACTGCATTTCTCTTTTTATCTTTAATTACCCTCCTAATACAACTATCAACTACATAATCGTCAGTGCATTCTAAAAGTTCTTTTTCAGCATCTTCATCTCCTATTTGGTCTGAGAGATATTTACGGGATTTATCATGTTTATCTTTCCATACACCTTCATATTTAGGTGCAGCTTTCATAAGGTATGAAAGGTTAATAGCAGTTGCAATAATTGATGGAAGATTGGGTAATTGAAGCTTCTTATTTGTAAGCTTTGGTTGAATTGTTGTAATAATTTCTTCCTTAGGTGTATCCAATTCATCACAAACTATGTCGCTTAATTCAATACAACCATCATCTTTTTGATCTGCGACGATTTTTTTGCATTTCTCAGGTGAAGCAGATTCCTCAACGATTATGAGTGCTTCAGCTTTCTCATGATCATCAAGTTTATCTTTATTAAACCCAAGGGCTTTTTCAATTTGATCAACAAGTTTAACAGCTCTTTCATAAAGAGAGCGGAAAAAACTTTTAGCTTTAGGGGTTTCTTTTTTCAGTATTTCATCTTTCTTAAGATCAATTACATACTTTTTCTTTTCCTCAATCAATTTATCTGTAGTTTTGTCGATTACATACTCATCGGCGCAATCCAATAATTCTTTTTCAGCATGGGCATCACCAATTTGCTTAGAGAGATAGTCACGAGCTTTATTATATTTATCTACCCAATCACCTTTATATTTATCCGCTGCATTTTTTAGATATGAAAGGTTAACAGCAGTTGCAAGACTTGACGAATGCTCGGGTAACTTGAGTTTTGGATTAGTAATTTTCTTTTTAATTGTGTTAATAATGTCTTCTTTAGGAACAAGCAATTCCATACATATTGAATCATCAATTTCAATGCTGCCATCGTCTTTTTGTTTAGATACAATTTCTTTATGTTTCTCACGAGAAGCTGATTCTTGAATGACAGCAATTGCAGCCTTTTTCTTATGGTCTTTTTCAACTTTTTTAGTAATGTTATCAACGAGATATTTATCAGTGCAATCTAACAATTCTTTTTCAGCATCAGCATCTCCAATTTGATCAGAAAGGTATTTACGAGCTTTATCATGTTTATCTTCCCATTGTTTTTTATGATGTGGTGCGGCGATGTTAAGGTAGCTAGTAGTGAGTGCTGTCTTCCACCATGGTTCTGATTCTGGAGATTTAAGTTTTGGATTTTGTGTGCATTCTTTTACCTCAGTTACTACATCGGTAGCTGGAACGTCTATTTCTTTACAAATTGTTTCGCTAACTTCAAAAGATCCGTCATTATTTTGGTTAGACACTATGTCATTACATTTTTCTGGTGTGGCAGATTCTTGCACCGTAGAGACTGCATTTCTCTTCTTATCTTTAATCACCTTCTTAATACAATTATCAACTACATAATCGTCCGTACATTCTAAAAGTTCTTTCTCGACATTTGTATCTCCTATTTGGTCTGATAGATATTTACGTGCTTTATCATATTTATCTTTCCATACACCTTCATGTTGAGGTGCAGTTTTCTTAAGGTATGAAATGTTAGTAGCAGTTGAAAGAATTGATGGAAGATTGGGTAACTGTAACTTATTTGTAAGCTTTGGTTGAATTGTTGTAATATTTTCTTCCTTAGATGTACCCAATTCATCACAAACTGTGTCGCTTAATTCAATACAGCCATCAACTTTTTGATCCGCGACGACTTCTTTGCATTTTTCACGTGAGGCTGATTGCTCAACGACTATGAGTGCTTCAGCTTTCTCATGATCATCAAGTTCTTTATCTTTATTAAATCCAAGGGCTTTTTCAATTTGATCATCAAGTTTAACAGCTCCATCATAAAGAGAACCGAAAAAACTTCTAGCTTTAGCTTTAGGGTTTTCTTCCTTCGGTATTTCATCTTTCTTAAGATCAATAACATCCATTTTCTTTTCTTCAATTACTTTATTTGTAGTTTTATCGATTACATATTCATCGGCACAATCCAATAACTCTTTTTCAGCATCAGCATCACCAATTTGCTTAGAGAGATAGTCACGAGCTTTATTATATTTATCTACCCAATCACCTTTATATTTATCCGCTGCATTTTTTAGATATGAAAGGTTAACAGCAGTTGCAAGACTTGACGAAGACTCGGGTAACTTGAGTTTTGGATTAGTAATGTTCTCTTTAATTGTATCAATAATTTCTTCTTTAGGAGCATGTAATTCCTTACATATAGAATCATTAATTTCAATGCTGCCATCGTCTTTTTGTTTAGATACAATTTCTTTATGCTTCTCACGAGAAGCTGATTCTTGAATGACAGCAATTGCAGCCTTTTTCTTATGATCTTTTTCAACTTTTTTAGTAATGTTATCAACGAGATATTTATCGGTGCAATCTAACAATTCTTTTTCAGCATCAGCATCTCCAATTTGATCAGAAAGGTATTTACGAGCTTTATCATGTTTATCCTCCCATTGTTTTTTATGATGTGGTGCAGCGATGTTAAGGTAGCTAGTAGTGAGTCCTGTTTTCCACCATGGTTCTGATTTTGGAGATCTTAGTTTTGGATTTTGTGTACATTTTTTCACTTCAGTTACTACATTGGTAACTGGTACGTCTATATCTTTACAAATTGTTTCGTTAACTTCAAAAGATCCATCATTATTTTGGTTAGACACTACATCATCGCATTTTTCTGGTGTGGCAGATTCTTGCACCGTAGCGACCGCATTTCTCTTTTTATCTTTAATTACTTTCTTAATACAATTATCAACTACATAATCGTCCGTGCATTCTAAAAGTTCTTTCTCGACATTTGCATCTCCTATTTGGTCTGATATATATTTACGGGCCTTATCATATTTATCTTTCCATTCACCTTCATGTTGAGGTGCAGTTTTCTTAAGGTATGAAAGGTTAGTAGCAGTTGAAAGAATTGATGGAAGTTTGGGTAAGTGAATCTTATTTGTAAGCTTTGGTTTAATTGTTGTAATAATTTCTTCCTTAGGTGTATCCAATTCATTACAAATTGTGTCGCTTAATTCAATACAACCATCATCTTTTTGATCCGTGACGATTTCATTGCATTTTTCACGTGAGGCTGATTCCTCGACGACTATGAGTGCTTCAGCTTTCTCATGATCATCAAGTTCTTTATCTTTACTAAACCCAAGGGCTTTTTCAATTTGATCATCAAGCTTAACAGCTCCTTCATAAAGAGAGCCGAAAAAACTTTTAGCTTTAGCTTTAGGGTTTTCTTCCTTCGGTATTTCATCTTTCTTAAGATCAATAACATCCATTTTCTTTTCTTCAATTACTTTATTTGTAGTTTTATCGATTACATATTCATCGGCACAATCCAATAATTCTTTTTCGGCATCGGCATCACCAATTTGCTTAGAAAGATAGTCACGAGCTTTATTGTATTTATCTACCCAATCACCTTTGTATTTATCCGCTGCATTTTTTAGATATGAAAGGTCAATAGCGGTTGCAAGGCTTGATGAAAACTCGGGTAACTTGAGTTTTGGATTAGTAATTTTCCCTTTAATTGTATCAATAATTTCTTCTTTAGGAGCATGCAATTCCTTACATATTGAATCATCAAGTTCAATGCTGCCATCGTCTTTTTGTTTAGATACAATTTCTTTATGTTTCTCAGGAGAGTCTGATTCTTGAACAACAGCAATTGCAGCTTCTTTC